TTTTCCCACCACAACAAAAAGAAACAAAACATTTTAGCAGCTTCTTACCATCCTCACTCCCGTTCTGGAGGGGCTCCCCAGGCCCCAGGAGTGGGAATTGCCAATCTCCCGGGGGCTTTCAGCTACAGGAGGTGACAATTTAGTGGGAAATCCCTTGATTAAATAGAGGGACACCCCCACTGCAGAGCAGGCTGGGCTGGATTCCAGATTGGGAATCGGAGCTGTCCACAGTGAAGGTGGTGCAGGAGCTCTCCTTTCCTGCATCCCTGCAGGGTTTTCTCTGCAATTTAGCAAAATCCGGGTTTTGCTCCCATAAATGTGCTTTGAGAGCAGCTCAGAAGCGGGGGTTTTTGTTAAAAAAAAATAGGCAATATTCTTTTCCTAGGAAAAATCCTTTTAATTTAGGATTAGGAAATATCCTCTAAACTTCTAGGAAATAGGAAATATCCTAGGGAATATCCTTTTACCTTCTAGGAAAAAGGAAATATCCTAGGGAATATCCTTTTAATTTACAGGAAATAGGAAATATCCTAGGGAATATCTTTTTAACTTCTAAGAAATAGGAAATATCCTAGAGAATCTCCCTTTAACTTTTAGGAAATAGGAAATATCCTAGAAAACATCCTTTTAATTTACAGGAAATAGGGACTATCCTTGGGAATATCCTTTTAACTTACAGTAAATAGGGAATATCCTTGGGAATATCCTTTTAACTTACAGGAAATAGGAAACATCCTTGGGAATATCCTTTTAACTTACAGGAAATAGGGAATATCCTTGGGAATACCCTTTTAAGCTCTCCCTAGAGGAGCAAAGCTGCCGCGGGGACGGCCAGCCCGGGCTCTTGGATCGCCGAGCCCCTCGGGGAACGCGCGGGTCCCGGCGCTCTTTGATGTTCTGCTCCGAGGGGAGGCGGCGGCCAGAGCCACAGCGGGATGGGAGCGGCCGGGACACGGCTGGGATGGGAACGGGGCTGGGATGGGAACGGGGCTGGGACACGGTTGGGATGGGAACAGGGCTGGTCTGGGAACAGGGCTGGGACATGGCTGGGACATGGCTGGGACACGGCTGGGATGGGAACGGAGCTGGGACATGGTTGGGATGGGAACAGGGCTGGGACATGGCCGGGACATGGCTGGGCTGGGAGCAGGGCTGGGATGGGAATGGGGCTGGGACACGGCTGGGATGGGAACAGGGCTGGTCTGGGAACGGGGCTGGGACATGGCTGGGACACGGCTGGGACACGGCTGGGATGGGAAAAGGGCTGGGACAAGGCTGGGATGGGAACGGGGCTGGGATGGGAACGGGCTGGGACAGGGCTGGGATGGGAATGGGACAGGGACAGGGCTGGGATGGGAACAGGGCTGGGATGCGAACAGGGCTGGGATGGGAACAGGGCTACGGGGCTGGGATGGGAACGGGCTGGGACAGGGCTGGGATGGGAATGGGACAGGGACAGGGCTGGGATGGGAACAGGGCTGGGATGCGAACAGGGCTGGGATGGGAACAGGGCTGGGATGCGAACAGGGCTGGGATTGGGATGGGAATGGGACAGGGACAGGGCTGGGATGGGAACAGGGCTGGGATGGGAACAGGGCTGGGATGGGACAGGGACAGGGCTGGAATAGGACAGGAAGGAACATGGTTGAGACCTGACTAGGACATGGGTAGGATGGGACAAGGACATGATTGGGATGGGACCTGACCAAGATATGGCTGGGATGGGACTGGGACATGGCTGGGAAGGAACAGGCACACAGCTGGGATGGGAGCACGACACAGCTGGGATGGGACCTGACTGGGACAGGGCTGGGATGGCAGCAGGAGATGGCTGGGATGGGAGAGGACATGGCTGGGGTAGGACCAGGACACAGCTGAGGTGTCACAAACCCACGCACGCCACATCCTGGGCTGAATATTCCACAGCTAAAATAATTGCATGGATGGTTTCCAAACAGCAGGGGAATATGCTGTTCTCTATTCTATTCTATTCTAATTATTCTCCTCTCTAACAGTGTTTTATTCTAGTCTATAATTCTCTTATCATTCTATTATTCTATTCTATTCTATTCTCATCTTATATTGCAAACAGCAGGGGAATATGCTGTTCTCTATTCTATTCTATTCTAATTATTCTCCTCTCTAACAGTGTTTTATTCTAGTCTATAATTCTCTTATCATTCTATTATTCTATTATATTCTCATTATCTTATATTGTAATTCTTTTCTAATCTAATTACCTTATATTCAGTTCTCTGTTCTATTCTAATCTAGTCTCTTTTTCACTGGACTTCAGGAATTTTATGTATTTATATCATGTTAAAATTCAGAATATATAATTATATTTTTAAGTTTTTATAATTCGTAGTATCCCTTATACATTATATATGAATATAATTACTTTAATATATTTATTATTTCAATAATTTATCTTATTTTGATATTTGGGGGGGTTGATTTTTTTTTTAATACTCTTTTTTTAGAGCAAATTTTTGTTGCAAAAGTGGTTCCTACAAGTCACCCTGATGGTTTCCCACACTTTAAATCCACCTTGAACTCCTTCCTGACACCAAACTGGGATGAGCCTCGTTGCATTTTCGGCTGCCATGGCCCAACCACTTCCCACTCCTCTGCAAACCACCCGGGCAATTTCAGCAGAAAAATCATTACAAACTGTTATATTTTTATATAACAGTTATAAATCATTATAAGTTGTTATAAAGCATTATAAATTCATGCTTTACTGCATCACAAGAACCACCCCCATTGTGGAAACCCATCTGTGACATCCCAGTCCTCAGACTGGGAGTGGCTTTGCCCGCAGCATCCTCACAGCAGCGGCAATTCCCACAGGAAATTAAACCATTAAAAATAAATATATAAAAAATCCGTAGTCTTTTCCCTTCCATCCACAAGGAAACCCAATCTCCTGCAAATCTGGGGCTCTGTGTGGGGTGGGGTTTGATCAGAGCAGTGGGGCCGGATCCGTGTCCTGCTCCTCACTCCCCAGGTGACACCTTGGGGTTTTGGCTTTCTATTTTCTTTCTTTTTTTTTCATCTTGTAGGTCTGAGTTTCATATAAGGGCATGGTAAAGTGTGGGTTTTCAAATTAGGGGATGGTAAGCTCTCTTCATAGAGTAGGTAGACACAACAATTCCTTCTACCCAAGGACAGCAGATCCAAATCTCAGGCCCAAGAGCACAAACAACGTGGACTGAAGAGAGAAAAACAAGAAGGATGGGACTGCATGGGCTGGGGCTGTAAATGGACAATTAACTCCAATATGCTAATGGACCAAAACTTACAAAAATGTGAGATCTTGTGACCAAGCCCTCTTTTGCTTCCACCTTGGAGCCATCTGGGCAGAGCCAAAGCCTGTCACCCTGCTCTTCTAAAGTTCTTCTAAGCCTTCTGATGTTTACATTTTTGTCATGGAGTCTCTCACGCACTTTTCATGTAAATAATGATTGTTTTGCATTCCTTTCTGGAGGAGGAGAGGACTAATGGGCTCTTGATTTGACCAGTGTGGTTTGAGAGGTAGCAATTTCATCCTCCAATCCATGGTCACTTTTGGAATCCTATAAATATCGAGGCCTGGAAATAAACGCGCTTTTTTTCCTTGGACATCTCAGCGTGTGAGTGTCGTTCATTTTGTGTCGTATTGTGACAAAAGCCATGGCTCTGGTAGTGCCAGGCCCTTCAGTAAATATCCTTTCATTCCCCTTCACTCTGTCTGGCCCCTGTTCCAGCTGTCCCAGGCACCGCGGGGACGGGGCGTCTCCCGATCCCGGAGCTCGGAGGGGCTGGGATGCCGTGGGGGCTCCGTGTCCCGGGCACAGCCTGGCACCAGCGGGGTCACCTTGTCCTGTTTGCACCCCTGGCACAGCCTGGCACCAGCGCCAGGCCCGCGGGGTCACCTTGTGCTGTTTGCGCGCCGGGGTCAGAGATAACGGGGGTCACTCACGTCAGCAGCCACAGGGCCCCTCCGTGCCAGCCCGGGGGGCACTCCTGCAAACAGAGCTCCCACTGCTCTCTGCAATGCCTTGGGTGCCAGGCTGAAAAGCCAAAATGATGCCTCCAGCTCTGGGGTCTGCAGCATCACGGCGTGCAGCTGCCGGAGCAATTCCAGGGGAGGCCACGGGGATGTTCCCAAGGTCGGAGCTCTCTGCTCTGGAGCCAGGCTGGGAGAGTTGGGGGTGTTCACCTGGAGAGGAGAATTCACAGAATTTACAGAATGCCCAGGTTGGAAGAGACCCTAAAGATTATTGAGTCCAACCCAGCCCAAACACCTCAACCAAACCCTGGCACCCAGTGCCACATGCAGGGAAGGCTCCAGGGAGAGCTCAGAGCCCCTTCCAGTGCCTAAAGGAGCTCCAGGAGAGCTGCAGAGGGACTGGGGACAAGGGATGGAGGGACAGGACACAAGGAATGGCTCCCACTGCCAGAGGGCAGGGACAGATGGGATATTGGGAAGGAATTGTTCCCTGTGAGGGTGGGCAGACCCTGGCACAGGGTGCCCAGAGCAGCTGGGGCTGCCCCTGGATCCCTGGCAGTGCCCAAAGCCAGGCTGGACAGGGCTTGGAGCACCTGGGACAGTGGAAGGTGACCCTGGCAGGGGCTGGCACTGGATGAGCTTTAAGGTCCCTTCCAACACAAATTATCCTGGAATTCTGGATCCATGCCCACAGCCAGGCAGTGCCTGGTCCGAATGAAGGATTTGGGGCCTAAAGGATGGAGAGTTTGGATTTGGGATCTAGTGGGGAGCATGGGGTCCCCAGGAGCGGATCACGGGTGGCATTAGGGGACAGTTCCCCCCTGCCAGGGTACGTGTGGCTCGTGTGTGCTGTGTCCTTCGGTCCCTGGGTGTCACCTGCCTTGGCTGGGTGCCCAAAGCAGGGGAGGGGGCAGCTCCCGCTGGTCCCGGCTGCTCTTGGCACTGCAGGTGGGGTGGGCAGGGGCTTTATAAACCAGAGGGAACTGGCCCTGGCTATCCTGGCACGATGTGGTTCCTTGTGCTCCTCTGTGCTGCCTCTGCCCTCTGCCAGGGTGTCACCAGGTGAGCCACAGCAGCATCACTGCCAGGGCCACAGGGAAAAGTGAGGGGGAAATGAGCATTTGGGGGCTTTTCATGGCTTTGGGAGCACAGGTGAGGTCTGAGGCTGCAGAAAGCTGCTCCGGGGGTGCAGAGAATGAGGGTGTACCTGGTTTCTAGGGTTGTTTGGGGATTTTTGAGGAAATCCCCGCCTCAATCCTGCTGTTGGATCAGAGCATTGGAGGTGTCAAAGACTGTTTGCTGGAGCTGCAGGCAGCAAAATTCCATCTCACCCTTCTTTTTCCTTTGTTGCTTGTGCCAGGCTGCCCTTGGAAAGGGGGAAGAAGCTGAGAGATGTCCTCAGGGAGAAGGATTTGCTGCACCAGTTCTTCCAGCATCACCACTACGACATCGGCACCAAATTCCCACACGCTTTTCCCAACGGAACCGGGCTGGCAACTGAGCCCCTGCTGAATGCCCTCGACGTGAGTATGGGCTCCAATCCCAGGGACACAGCCCTGGCAGGGTTTGTGGGATGTCCATCCTTCTGTCCAAACCCAAATCCTTCATACCAAAGCCTTCAACTCACATCCTTCACCCCTCCTTGCCCACGGTGGTGGCTCTGAATAGAGAAATATCCCCCAGGAGCTCTGCTGGAAGCAGGGATTCTCCATGAAGCAGGGGACCAAGCCTGGGGAAGCTCCAGGTTTGGTTTCATGCCTCCAAATCCATCCCTGGCCTGGCAGGTGGAATACTATGGGACCATCTCCATCGGCACCCCCCCGCAGGAATTCAGCGTGGTCTTCGACACCGGCTCCTCCGACCTCTGGGTCCCCTCCGTGTCCTGCCCCAGCCTGGCTTGCCGTGAGTAGGAGCCAGGCCCAGCTGCACGTCCTGGCTTTGTAAGGGCTCCACCGAGCCCAAAAATTGGGGTGACATTGCCAGAGAGAGGGGGTCACCCAGCTGGGCCCATGGCAGCTGTGCAATGAGCTGCAGTGATGAATATTTGGGGTGTAGGGGCTGCTCAGCGCTGCATTCCTCAGGTGATGTGATTACTGCTTGGTGCCTCAGTTTCCCCATCTGCCCAAGGGACATGGGAATGCCTGTGGCTGCTGGAGGAGGGGAAGGATGAGCAGCAGATGCTCACAGCTGAATTATTCCTGAAGGCAGGATAACAAACAGCAATTCAGCAGGGCTCCTCCTCCCACACCTCCCTTAGGCTTGGCCTTGCCCGAAGGTTTAATTCTGCATTTTTCCACTTATCTAGAAACCCACCGGGTGTTTGACCCCTCTCAGTCCTCCACCTACAAGAGCACAGGGCTGAGCCTGTCCATCCACTACGGCACGGGCGAGATGGAGGGCATCGTGGGCTCCGACACCGTCACCGTGAGTGTCCCCAAGGCACGGCTGGGGCTCTGGGGACATCCCACCTGCAGGAGGGATGGGGGTAGGACAGTTGGGATGGACAGAGACGAGAGATCTCTGGAGCCAGGTCTTGGAATTTGTGGTTTATTGCAAAGGGTGTGGGTGCAGGGGCCCTGCTGGGAGCTGCAGCCACAGCTCGGAGCAGGCCCCAAAGAGGGAGAGAGGTAAAGAGAGTGAGTGGTAAAGAGAAAGAAGGCAAAAGCGTGGTAAAGAGGATGAGAGAGAGAGAGAGTGAAGAATAAAAGCAAGGGGGAAAGAGAGGTAAAGAGAGTGGAGTTCCCGTTACAATAGAATAAATCTTTTTCTGTGCTGAATATTCTAATTTTCACTAGCCAATCTAGTATAAGATACAGATCCTACAGCATTTACATACAGCCTATAAGAATCATTACATTAGCATAAAGTGTTACATTTTAAACCCTAAAAACTACTCTTTGGGCCCCTTCTGCCAAGCTAGTAGGGTCTGCTCTGACCCTTGGACCTGTCTGGAAGCAGAGGGTATTGTCTAATCAAAAGGGGATTACCTTCAGCTGGCCAGACCATGGGTTTCCAGTTGTTCAGTAACTGAGGCTTGGGATCTCAAAGCTTGCTTCCATTTCAATCTCCCTTATAGTTTCCACATTCTCAAAATCTTTTGCCAGGCAATCATATTGATAAGGCTTTCCTGTTTCATCACCCCCTAAAGCTGTTTGTTAACCAGGGAACCCAAGCAGGACAAGGTGTCCTGTGGTGAGTTATTCTGGAGCCATGGGATCAACACCAGGATGACATCTCCCAGCTGCCAATGAACATCTCACTGTTCAAGTGAGATCTGGTGAGATAAGCTGGGTTTGTGACTGACAGACACTCTAAAAGCCACACCAAACTTCCACAAAGCAGAAATCTTCTGCACATTTTCCTGGAAATGTCTGGGGTTTCTCCTGTGGCTGGGGATGTCACTTCAGGGATTAATGAAGGAATCTGTGCACATTATAATTGTTTTGGTGGCAAGTTACATCTGACTCTTAATCAATCCTATTCCTTTTGCCAGCTTTAACTCAGCTACCTTGCACTGTTTACGTTGTGCTGTAACCTACTTGCAGTTCTTTAGTTTTATCCTGTGTAGTAATTCTGATGGAGATCTTTCACTCGTTATCTTTTGTCTGTTCATTTTCCTACTAAGTATCTCGTCTTTTATGAGATGCATGTGATTTGCCATCATTAAAAGTTGTGGGACGAGGCTGCAGAATTCAAAGCCTTGTTAGTCTGAGGTGACATTGGCTCCAGCAGCCTCCAGACCTCTGTCTCTGAGGAGGGGCTCAGAAATCCAGGGGCTCTCTCAGCCCCTCCTACCTCGGTTTTTGGGCTTCTTTAATAACCTTTGTCTGAAGCTCCTGCTCCACCTGCAGCAGGGGATCCTGATTAACCCCAGAATCCCAGTGCCTGCTGCAGGTGTCACCTCCCTGTCCCCAGGTGGCCTCTCTGGTGGACACCAACCAGCTCTTCGGCCTGAGCACCGCCGAGCCCGGCCAGTTCTTCGTCGACGTCCAATTCGATGGCATCCTGGGCCTGGGATACCCAAACCTGGCTGCTGATGGCATCACGCCTGTCTTTGACAACCTGGTGAACCAGAGCTTGCTGCAGGAGAACCTCTTCTCTGTCTACCTGGCCCGGTGAGCCCCGGGGGCTTGCGGGGCTGGGGAAGGGGGGATGCACCTCAGGCACGGTGTGCTGCTGGCTCCGGCTCCTCCCTTGTCACTGCTGCCATCAGATGCTGTGTCTGTGTCACCATGTGCCAGGGCTGGGGGCCACTAGCCTCTCCAGAGGGTTTATGGCTCGCTGGGAAACAGTTCCCAGGCACGTGGCTGCTGGTTCCAAAGGCCCTGGCCCCTGTGCTGAGGTGAGGAGGGGGGGACGTGACACAATCAGTGTCCCACCCTTGGGACACACAGCTCTGCACTGAACCATGTGGCATTCATATTTTCTGGAAAATCCCTGCACCCAGGATTTTTTTTTCCTGGGAAGCTGAGAAGCCTCAGAGAAAAAGGAAAACAATAATTATCTGATTTGCTTCTCCTGTGTTTTGCTCCTTTGGAAGATGTTTGGAGATTGTTTATCCAACAAGTGATTGTTTCATTGAATTTCTGCTGTGAGTTGTTTTGACTCAATGGCCAATTGGGGCCAAACTGTGTCAGACTCTGCAGAGAGAGTAATGAGTTTCATTATTATCTTTTTAGCATTCTGTAAGTATCCTTTCTGTATTCTTTAGTATAGCATAGTTTAGTATTCTTAATATAACATAGTATCATAAAATAATAAATCAGCCTTCTGAGAACATGGAGTCAGATTCATCATTCCTTCCTGCCACGAGGGTCCCTGCAAATACAATGGAACCACATGGCAGACCTCCCTTGTTTTTCTTTCCTGCATCATCCAGGGAGGCAGCAGGGAGTGTGGTCATCTTCGGGGGCATCGATGAGTCCTATTTCACTGGCCCCATCCACTGGATCCCTGTATCTTACCAGGGCTACTGGCAGATCTCCATGGACAGGTGACAAACCAGCTCTGTTGCTCTCTGGTCACCTCAAAGCATTGCTTCTAAAGAGACACTGGGCCCATCAGCACCAGAGGCTTCCACTGACATCCCCACCCCAGGGCTGAGGGATGCAGGGGGATAAGGGGACACACTCTGTAGTACTTGGGTAACTGCCACCCAAAAGGAGGATGCTTTGTGCCTGGGGCACAGCCTAGTTCCTGTCCTGTGATTTAGGGGATGTTTTTGGTGCTGAGGAGGGCAAAATCATGGGTCAAAACCTCCTTTGTTGGGCTGGAGTGGGTCCCAGCTGCTGGGGTGTGTTCAGTGCCCACATCTGCAATGGTGGCTGCTGGCTCTGCAGCTCCAGACAGGAAAAGGCTCACAGGCAGCACTTGGGGTTACCCAGCTTTAACTCTTACAAAAGAAGTTAAAAACCATCTCCAAGGCCCGATGGTTATTTCACAGCCCCTGTTGGTCTCTCCCCACAGCATCATTGTGAACAGCCAGGAGGTCGCATGCGCTGGCGGCTGCCAGGCCATCATCGACACCGGCACTTCCCTCCTGGCCGGGCCACCCTCGGGCACCAGGAGCATCCAGAGCGCAGTTGGGGCCAGGCAGGGCGAGTATGGAGAGGTGAGAGCTCGCCCTGCTGGCCATGGAGGCAGCTGGCCCAGCAGAGCCCAGCCAAGGCTGCTGCCACGCATGGGGAAACTGCCCCGTGCTCACAGCAACCCCGGCAGAGACACCTGGGGCTCTCTGGTTTATGTCAGTGGGACAGAGAATCACAGGATGTCCTGAGCTGAAGGGACCCACCAGGACCATCCAGTCCAACCCTGCCCTGCACAGACACCTCAAATCCCACCCTGGGCATCCCTGGCAGCGCTGTCCAAACTCTCCTGGAGCTCTGGCAGCCTTGGGGCCGTGCCCATTCCCTGGGGAGCCTGGGCAGTGCCAGCACCCTCTGGGGGAAGAACCTTTCCCTGAGATCCAGCCTGACCTGCCCTCACACAGCCCCAGGTGTTCCCTGGGTCCTGTCCCCGTCACAGAGGTTGGAGCTGCCTCGGGCGGACATTGAAGGCCCCAGTGAGGTCTCCCCTCACTCCTCACCCTCTGAACATGTTTCCCTGCTGAGAGCCCTTCCCTCTGCCCCCTGCAGCACAGTGTGAACTGCAGCTCCATCCCTGCCATGCCCGATGTCATCTTTGTCATCGACGGGGTCCAGTACCCCGTGTCTGCCTCGGCCTACACCGAGCAGGTAGGTGGGAACCAGCTGCTCCTGGCTGCAGGAGCCCCTCTCGAGGTCCTTCTGCTCTCTCTGGTGGCTCTGGTCACCTTGGCTTCTCCCATTCCCTTGGGAGATGCATGGCCATGGGCCTCCAGGGCAGTGCAAGGAGAGATTGCAGCCCGCATTTCCCCAATTTCCTTCTCGTGATCAAATGCAGCATAACCAAGAATCGTGCATGAGCAGCTTCCAGGACACCTCTGGGGACCTCTGGATCTTGGGAGACGTCTTCATCAGGGTGTACTACAGCATCTTTGACCGGGCCAACAACCGCGTTGGGCTGGCCAAGGCTGTTTAGATCCGCCACAATGGGAGTGGGGCTGGGGTTCTGTCCACAGCCAGGCCCCAGCCGTGGGTTTTGGCACAAATAAAGAGTTGGTGGCTCTGAGCTGGTGGCTGTGTGTGTTTCTGACGGAATGGCAGGAGGCAGGAAGGAGCTGCTTTGAGGGGGCCAAGGACCCTTTGGTCACCACAGCTCTGCTGAGGCCCTTGGGAGCTATGATCGCTGCAGGGCTGAGGGGTGGAAGCCAAGATGGGCTCTGTTATTTGGACTACTACAAGTGGGGGATTCTGGATCCCCCAAATTTCCACCCCAGGCACAAACCACCCCAGAGCAGATCCCTGTAGACCCAAAACCACGTCCCACCAGTTCCTGTCCTGCTAGCTCCCCATCCCTGGGCACAGGGCTTGTTCCCACTTTCCCTGCAAGGTGTCTGACAGCCCAAAGCCATCCCAGGCAGGGAGTCTCCCAGGAGGATATGGCTCAGCTGGAGATTTCCCTTGGACCACCCAAGAGGGCAGGAAAAGGCTTTCACCCAGTGCCTGCCGTGGTGAGGCTTGTACAGAAGCACAGAACCTGCACAATGCTGTTTTTTGAAGCAAATTACCTCCTCCAACCCTATTAAAAATGGAGGCTGCCTCTTTCCCCAGGAGCAGCTGCAGTGGAATTGCTCAGCAGGAAGCCAGGAGGGAGATCCAAGTCCCTGCTGTGTCTTCATTTCTGCAGGGACAAGGGACAAGGGACTCCTTGCTTTATTTATTGGTAAAGGAGGCTCCACCACTGGTGGGGCCTGGAGATTCCAAACCCAGCAGGAACAGGGATGTGGAGGGGGAGATCCAGGTGATTGAGGTTAAATTATTGTCTTCTTGCACTGTGTAAAAACTGAGCTGGCTGTAGAGGAGGATGTGATGTGGGATGGTGGGAGTGGGATTTACCCCCCACATCCCTGGGATTCTTAGCCCAGCTGGTGGGAATCTCTTGTGTCCAAGCACAAGAGTGACCCAACCCCGGATTTTGGGCACATGGGACTTGCCCTCAGCTCTGTCACAGGAGTTTTCTCATTACTATTGATGCCTCCGGTTTTGGCTTTTCTATTTTTCAGATTCTGTGCTTTTTTAGTGTGTGGGTCTGGGCTTCACATTAGGGGACAGTGAGCTCTCTGCACAGAGCAGGGAGACAAAACAATTCCTTCTCTAGCTGGGGACCAAGGACAGCTGATCCAGATCTCAGCCCAAGAGCACAAACACCGTGGGCTGGAGAGAGAAAAACAAGAAGGATGGGAGTGCAGGGGCTGAGCTGGAATTGGACAATTAACTCCAATCTGCAAATGGAGCAGAGCTGATCACAGTGAGAGACCCCGTGAGCGCTCCTGCATTTTGGGACCATTTTGGTTCATTTGGGTGCAGCCCTGGCTGGGCTCTTGTTCTGCCCAAGGTGGATCCATGGAGGCCTTTTAATAAATCCCTGCTTTATTCTTTAGCTCTGTCTGGTCTCTGTTCTAGCTCAGCCTGCACAAGGCACCACTATGGCCTAAAGAATAAATGAGGCAGGGGCAGTGGGAACCGCGACTCCGGGATCAGCCGCGCAGGGATCAGCCCTGCCAGGACGGACAAGACCCGGAGGAGCAGCCGGGGGCTGGACCTGCCCTTTCGGAGTGGTGGGAGTGCCGTGTTGGTCTTCATTCCAGGCAGGACCGACCTGGCCGCAACGCCGTGTCTAAATCCAGCCGTTCCTAAATCCTCCTCCTGCACTGGTGCTGAGAATTCCCGTCTAAGGCATTCCTCCACGGGAGCATCCCCCTGACCGGGGCAGCCCTTCCCGCAGCCGTGTTCGCATTCCAATAAAGGAATAAACCAAGGAAAAGCTTCCAAGCGCGGGTTGGAGAGCGGGGAGCGAGCCGGGGCTGCCCGTGGCAGGCAAATGCCGATCCTGGAGTGCCATCTCGTGGCTCCAACCCTGAGATCCTGGGCGCTCCATCCTGGGAGTGTCCTTGGTTGGACGGGGCTCGGAGCAACCTGGGACAGTGGAAGGTGTCCCTGCCCACGGTGTGGGTGGGACTGGGGGAGCTTTAATGTCCCTTCCAACCCAAACCAGTCTGGGATTCTCAGGAATTTCAGCCCAAAGGAGGGAGTCACTCCTACCTGCAAATATTTCACACCTGGCCACAGGTTTTGTCTTGCTCCAAGGCTAAAACATGGCCAGGACACCTTTCTGATAGAGCAAAGGTTGTTCTTGTCTTCTTTTAGATTTCTTGAGGCAGTAAAAAAATTGAAGAGGGAATTCATCCTGTGTGCAGAAGGACACGACAGACTGGCTCATTAGGGCTTGACTCTGGAACAGGACAGTTACTGAGGGCTTTGTATGGATTTCATTCAGCTTTGTGCTTTGGGCCTGTGTTTGGGAAGGGGCAAAGCTGCAGGTTGTGCAGGAAAAGGGGGTTTCTTGCAGGTTTTCATCAGTGTTGACACTGGGAACTCGTAGCCTAGTTTTCCTTTTTTTTTTTTGGAAAATTGGAAATAGGTTGATGTGTCTGGAGAGGTTTAATGCCTCTGATCCCTTTCCCATGGCAACCATCAGAAATTCCCCTTGGATCTGGCCTCCCACAATGGTGTGAGCCAATCTGCAGAGTTTGTCCTCATCTCACAGAGCTGGAGAGCTGCAATTATTTGTTTTCCAGAGCAGCTGTGCCTGCCCCTTCCCTGGAAGTGTCCAAGGCTGGACAGGGCTTGAAGCAATCCAGGATAGGTGAAGGTGTCCCTGCCTTGTGGAATGAGGTGAGCTCTAAGGTCCCTTCCAACCCAAACCATTCTGGGATTCTGTATTGCCCCATGTCTCAACCCTCCCACACGCAATTCCCAGCTGGAATTGTGTTGTCATGGAGCAGCACAAAGCCAGGAACAAAAAACTTGGGCCCAAATAAACAATATTTTCTGCATACCAGATTTTGAAGCATTTATTCTTTTATTTGAGGATAGTTTACAAGTTTGTAAGAATAAGGTTTTCTGTCCATCCATCCATCCATCCATCCATCCATCCATCCATCCATCCATCCCAGCACCATTACAGTCCATGTTTGCAGGAGGAGTGGAAATGTGCTCATGGCTGATCAGGCTGACTATTTCCCAGCCCAAACCTTCCCATCAGAGTTTTTCATGGTGATTTCCCAAGGAAAAACCACCAAAAGTGCTTCCAATTAGAGAGGCTGGGAGAGAATTTGGGGAGGGGAGCAATAAAAATACAAAAGATTTGGAAAAAAATCAAGTTTTCTAGAAGAAAAGGAGAAAGAACCTGCTATGAAATAAAAATAGTGATGTGAAAGAGCTGCTGGATGGAACTGAGGGGTGAAAAGAGAGGAGTTGGTTTGAGTGCTGTTCCCAGCTGTTCCCAGCTGTGCCTCCTCCAGCTGTGCCCAGCTGTGCGTTCTCCAAGCGTCCCCACAGAACCTGGACACAGTGGGAAGGAGATTAAATAGCTCTGACAGTTCCTCCTGTGTGAGATGATGGCGTGAGGGCTGCAAGGGAGGGGAAAGGGATGATGCAGGGATGGGAAAAACACAGCAGAGAGAGCAGGTGGTAGGGGGGATTTGTCCCAGGGGGAAAAGGGATTGTACCGGTCAAGTCTCAGATCCATCTCCCGGGGTGCAAAACACCTCTTTGCAGAAAGACAGGGCACTGAATCCCCTAAACCCAAAATAAAAACCCCCTACCACCAGGGCTGTGGGATTTCTGCTGCAGAGAAAATGCCAGCAAGCCCAAACCCATGTTTTCCAGCAGGGCAGGAGCAATAAATCCAATCCCTGTTCCACCGCTGCTTTCTGAATGAAATTGCAAACCAGGGATGCTGGCACATTGTGTGATGATCACGGGGATCTGTCAGGAGATGAGACATCTGTGCAGCAGGTGTGGGACATCAGCGTGGATGAGACACTGCACGAGAAGCTGGGATTTTAATGGAGGCAGAACATTAAAAAAAAAAAAAAAGTCGAGTGAAACAGTGAAGTGGGAACAAAATGTTTTTGTCAAAAACCTGCTGGCATTGGAGAGAATGGCAAAATGAGCTGTTGCTGGCTGCTCCCATCCAATGTGCCACTGGAAATTTGCATTTTGAGGAAAGCAGAAGTGCCTTGTTACATCAGGGAGAAGAGCTGTCAGAAAATGTTGGCTCTCATTGCTCTGTGCCCCTTTTGCAGCACCAGAAGTGACAATAAAAGCTACAAGGTCAGAGTGGCTCATCCCCAGGGTTGTTTGTAGACCAGAAAACAAGCATTTGTTGCAGGAGAAATCCCATTCCCTCTCTCAGAGCTCAGTTTTCCAGCAGAAACCCCGGTGGGCTTTGAGCTGCAGTGCCCTGGGCCTTTGGGGTGGCTGTGCCACCGTGTCTGGTCAACAACCCCAAATCCCCCCCTGCTGCCTGGGGTCCATCCGTGACTGCCCACCCTGATGTGCCATCAGAATTAATGAGTCAGGCAGACCAGGGAACTCATCCAGCTAAAAATACCCCTTCTCATTTCTTTTTGCCAGCTTATTTTTTCAGTCAGAGCTGTAGCGGGTCTGGGAATTTGTCAGAACCCCAGATCTGAAGTAGTGGGTGGGAAGGAACTATTTAAACCATTTAAATCTGTTTTCATAAGCAAAGCAGGGAGCTGGACCCACCTTCATCCCTGGAAAGCCAAGCATTTCATGTCATTTTGCCCTTTTTCCTCTCCAGTAAATGGGGAAATCTCTGTATGTTGGGGAATTCCACTCTGACGCCAGGGAGTGTGGAAGAAGAGAGAAGACAAATGTCAAGCAGATGAGCATCAAATAAAAAACACCAGACTGATGGGCAGGGCAGAGAGATAAGAAAGATGGTATTTATTTGAACAGCCACAGGAAATCAGAGATTGAAAAATGTCTAGAAAAAAAAAAAAAATAAAGCAGCAGCATGTTATTTAAAAAAAAAAAAAAAATCAGAGCATGCAGATGTTGGATATGTTTTCCAGCCAATCCCACCTGACTGTGCCCAGTCCCTCAGGGCCT